TGCTGCCACTGATGGCTCACAGAACGCAGCAGTCAAAATAAAAAATAGTGGAATGAAAGAAAAGCCATCAGTAGACATGCAGTGATCATGTCATTATAACACGCTGTAAAGGTGTGCCTGCGCGCACACACACACACACAGACACAAACAGGACAGTCGGGAGAAGAAAATGGCACGGAATACTAAGCAGCCACCAAGGAGGTAAAAGGAAGCAGTCACCTTCCTAAATCTGGGATGCGACAGACAGCCCTAATAACAGACGGAGGCCAGCACTTAGGTAAAACGCAGTCAACGACAAGTGTCACCCCAGAGCAGCTCACAGATAAAATGTACTACAATTCTGACAAAATGTTGTGTACTCTTCAGAAAAGTTGAGCCTGGGAAGAATGAGATCGAGGGGTTGGGTGGCTGCTCAGACAGAACAGTTTCCCAGATGGAAGCCCAGGGCCCCCCAGGGGGCACCATCCCGGGCAGGGGGTACCCCAGTGGGCATGACGCTTAGATCCTCTCTGCAAAAGAAAGGGGCACGAGCCCATTTCTGCATCAGTCCTCTTACTGATGTGCACGGTGGACCACCCAACGACCCCTCCAGTCCAGCTCACGCTCAGGAAAACGCAGATTGTGTTACAGGCACACAGGCTAGCGTGAGGTCACAGAGCCTTCCTTAGAGAAGCAGCAGGATGGGTACTCCTGGGCCACTCAGGGGAACATGCCATAGGAACACAGGCAGCATAAAATGGCTCACTGGAAAAGGTCAGCCTTCTTTCTAGACTTTTCTAAACTGTCTCTCCTTCCATAAACTCTTTGGAGAGAATGAAGCCTTTTACTCATTTTTCAGAAGGTAACCTTTCTCTTCTCAGGGCCAAAGTCACCCAAGTGGAAGCAGGGAAGGGAAACTAACATTGGCGAGGACCTACCTACTACACGCTACCTACTGTGCTGGTTCCTTCGAACATATTTCCTTTCATTCGTCTGACAACCTTCTTTCTTTGCACTACGGCGTAGGCATAAACCGAATGGAAGGCTCATACGTAATTTGTACCGTTAAGTATGTGCACACTGATCTGTACATGGTTTGCACAAGCTCCAGAGTGGTGGATCCAGGTGCTGCATTTTCTGACCAGCTAACCCTGCTTCCCACCCAAGCAGACCATGCTCCATCCTCCAGCCGCATCACACTGGCTCCCACGTTGATGCTATCACCTGGGGATCCCTTCTGGGACTCGCCACGGACTAAGGAGACCACAGGTGGCTATGAAGAGGCTTCATGTGGTGCACACAGGCTAACAGACAATGCCTGGGATGCCCTTTTTGTTCTCCCACGGCACCGGGGTGGGGGAACTTGGATGCAAGGACGCTTTGGCTGGGCCGAGAAATATTGCACTGGGTAGGACAAAACCTCACGGATGGTGACAAACACGCAAAAGCATTTTTCGCCTATGATGCCTCATCTTGAGCTTTAGCTGGAGACCACCCTGGAGGTGTCTTTCACACAATAATAATTAGGAATTTGGCTCCTGAAAACAATGCCCTCAGTGAAAACTCCCTTGGCTCTATCAGGATGGCCTTCCTTCCAACGAGGTCTATGTGCTGATTGTAAGCATGAAGTCAGGGAAGTTTCCCTTTATGTCCCCCCTTTGGTTTTTGCTTAGTGGATGCTAGTAAATTTTACAAGGGCTGTTCTGCACGGCAGGAAAGCAAGGGATTACAAAAACGAGAAGAGGCCCAAGATATGATCTTGTATGAGGAATCATTTGCCCATTTTAGCGATGAGAAAACCCCTAGCTCTGAGAGGTGAGACCACTTGCCTTGCAGCCAACCAGACCCCAGGCTCGTGGCTTCTCCCCACCAGCCACACTACATTCACTGGGGATGCCCCGTGGTTGGTTACGAAGTCAAGCATCCCTGTGGTCCTGCTTCCGTGCAGGATTTATGCCTGGGGTCATAAAGCCATCTGTCCTCTAGCAAACCACCCCTTCCTTCCACAACTTCCCCAATCCAATTTGTGAGTTTGCTAATTAAGTGCAACACTTTGCATGTTTCTAAATCTCCCTGTGGGTGCAAGTGTTAGTGATTTCTAATCCACTGAGCAGACAGACCAGGGGAGAAAACCCCACCGAGTGCCACTGAGGATGGAGGGAAGTCCTCAGCCCTCGGAGTGTAAATTAAATCCAGGCCTTCGTTTTCTGTCTCCCTTCCCTCTCCCCCTCTCGCTTCCTCTGCTTCCCTCCTGACTCTGCTCCTGTCACTTGTGGTAAACACAGCTGGTGGAGTATTTTAGCTGTGATGATGTCAGCCTGTTTCTGATGGGCTTCGGGGTAAAGTGACAAATCACTGGTGGTGTCGGGGCCCCGCACTTGTGTTTCTACAGCCTGAAACTCCAGCCACCCTTTGGAGCCGAAGCCACAGACCTGTGAGCAGGCCCTGACAAACACGCTGCCTTCTAATTTGCACCTTGGCTGTCAGCACGGAGACTGGTGGTCTGGCGATGGGAAGGAAATGAGACTTCCCACATGGAAGCCGATTTCACCATCGTTTAAGCGTTCACTCTGCAAAGGATCGAGCGGGGCAAACACAGAGAGATGCTTCCTCTCTAAGAACTGCCGGGCCGGGTCGATGTGAAACCTAGAGGTCTGTGAAGCTCCTGATGACTACGGAGGCTGCCGGGGCCTTGGAGATGAGCCCTCAGCTCAGAGCTGCTCTTTACTCAAAGAGATGCTAGGCCGGAGACAGCAGCATTTTCAAAATCACCCCTCTTTCCATGCCTACCTCTCTTCACAGTAGTGCTTTAAGGATCAAAAGGACCATGAAATGACATGTTTACTTCTCCTTCTTGTTTAATTTCCAGGCTTCACCTGGGGTCCGTTAAAAGACAAGTTTGCTAAAGACAGCTTGTTCTTTCAACTAGTATCCATCCACCCCTAATCCATGTAGGACAGTGGGAGTGAGCAGAAACTACAGACGGGTAGTGAGTTCTAAATAATGACCTTTTCCAA